AAAAGTGCAGTACATTTAAAAAAAAATAAATTTATTTAATTTATTTTTATTTTTGGCTGCTTTGTGTCTTTGTTGCTGCCCGCGGGCTTTTCTCTAGTTGTGGTGAGCGGGGGCTACTCTTAGTTGTGGTGCGCGGGCTTCTCATTGCGGTGGCTTCTCTTGTTGTGGCTCGCGGCCTCGAGGCGTGCAGGCTCAGTAGTTGTGGCGCACAGGCATAGCTGCTCCGCGACATGTGGGATCTTCCTGCACCAGGGCTCCACCCCGTGTCCCCTGCATCGGCAGGCGGATTCTTAACTTTGCCACCAGGGAAGCCCCAGTACTTTTATTATTAAATCCACCTTCGGGCTTCCCTGGTGGCGCAGTGGTTGAGAATCTGCCTGCTAATGCAGGGGACACGGGTTCGAGCCCTGGTCTGGGAGGGTCCCACATGCCGCGGAGCAACTGGGCCCGTGAGCCACAACTACTGAGCCTGCGCGTCTGGAGCCTGTGCTCCACAACAAGAGAGGCCGCGATAGTGAGAGGCCCGCGCACCGTGATGAAGAGTGGCCCCCGCTTGCTACAACTAGACAAAGCCCCACGCACAGAAATGAAGATCCAACACAGCAAAAATAAATAAATAAATTAATAAACTCCTACCCCCAACATCTAAAAGAAAAGAAAGTTATAAATCCATCTCGTCTCCTTTTATGTGACTCCTTGCCAGAAAAGAAATGGCCTAAGAATTTCCACGTGCCTGATTTGACATTTGTAAGAAGTTTTATAGTACTTTGATTTCACAAATATATTACCCAAAGTAACAGGTTTTTATAACCCTTGCCCTTTAAGGAGCCCAAAACTAATCTCAGAGGGAAATGACAAACCTTGCAAAAAATTATAAATATTATTTCTCTCCCCTATATTGTCTTGTGGTGTCGCTTAACTGAAACTCCCCAGTCTGTGACCTTGAGAAACCTAGAGAGCTAAACAGGAGGAGTAGAATATTGAAGGTTGTCCCCTCCACAGCTACCCAAAAAGGGGACAAATATTCATTATAACAGGTAAGTGTTTTTACAATTATGGCAGATGGTGATTGAAGCAAAGGCAATTCAGAAGGGGAGACACACGAAAGCAATAATTTTGAATGTTTGGCATTTGTTTTGAAACTACCTTACTACCCTACACCCTTTACCATCTGTCTGTTATCCCTCCCAACACCCACCTCTGTCTTCCCACAGGGCTCCATTGTCTGCAGTTCCTGTTTCTCAGGGGCGGAGCTGTGGGAGGCAGCCATGGGTGCCATAATAGGCACCTGCGGCCAGCACAATGGGCTGTGGGTGCTTGTGGGAGAGACAGATTGATGTATTGTGCATGGGGGAGGAGGGCTGTCACTTGAATCCATGTGAACCCAGGCTTTAGGGGCAAGGGAGATTGACAGCTTTTGTAGGTTGCATTTCTTTTTCAAAGCTTGGCTTTAATAGACAGTAAGTTTGGGGCCCCAGGCTTTCACTCCCATAATTCTAACAGGGCAATCACGAGTATTCAGCATTTCTTTTTACCCCCCTTGTTACGCATTAAATGATTTCAGTAAAGGAATGTGCAGCATTAATTAGAATTTGTTAGCAGATACCAAGGGGAAAAGTTTCTTCACAACAACTATAGGAGGTGTCATTTGTACAAAGACTTTTTTGTTTTCTTTCCCCATTACATTATCACTGCAATATGTAAGGTAGTGATTCTTTTCATTTAAATTAAGTGGAAAGCTACTAAATCTTGTTTTATTCTCCAAAAAGAATAAGGTCCTTAACACTTATCTTTTAACTTCTTTCATTTCCTAAGGTTGGTGTTTACTTTTGCTTTCAGCCCGACCCATGTACTGATCTGTGTGGTTGTGTATCCAGTTTTGTGTGCCATTCAGCTCTTACAATTACAGGCAACCAAATACTGATATGTAAGGATTGCTTCAGGTGAAAATAGCTACCAGTAATATTGAAAATCATTGACACACTGGGTCCCTTTTTAGTAATGGTACATTGAGAACTGCCAAAAATTAGACTCCTAGGTTTGTGTCCTAACTTATTTCCTAAAACTAATTTTCCCTACTTGATATTTAACCTTAGCTATGACATCAGATTCATGGAAGAATGGGGCAGTGGCCAAGGAATATTTTTTTCCTATAGAAAACTCATTCCTAAACTGTGTCAGTATTTTAAACATCAAAAGTACTTCCATTGAAACACACACAGATAGCATCATTTCCTTACAGCTAGTTAAGATGATCTTTTTTTTGGTTTGGTTTTGTTTCCATTTTCTATTCTTTTTTTAAATTCCTCACATTTTAGACGTTTATAGGAGAAAAACCTCAGATAGGTTATCTTGTAAACACACTCTTTGCAATCCGAGGCACTGATAAAACATTAAAAAATTTTGGTGTGATTTTTCTGAATTCTCTCTCGTATAAAATCATTTTCTCTATGGAAGGAGTTGGAGGCTAATTGAATTAGAATTTTTCCCGTTCAGTTGTTTTATTTAAATGTGTTAAGGGCAACAGTGAAAAATATTGATTAAGTCTACCATTATTTCTCAGAAAGAACATATTCCCACACAGTTGTCTGGCTCTGTCTATTATAATACTTTGGTGCAATGGTTTAAAAAGTAGTGGGGTGATAATAATTAGGGTGTGCGACACAGAAATTTCAATGCTGGATTCAACATTTCACCATGCAGGGCAGGAAAATTGCCGACCGGGGCTAGTCAGCTCTAAGTACTAATTAACTAATTAATCAGGTGCTGAAACCAAATGAATGGAGGATACCAGCCAGGCAACTCAAGCCCAAGCAGAGGGTTGTTCTCTTTCAGACAGTGCAGTCTTTCTTCTTGGTTTTTAACCCAATCACAAATGAGGGGAGAAAATAAGATATGGTGTCCTACTGTCGGTCATTTCGGTCCAAGTTTTTTACTTAGAGAAGATAAAATAAAAGCATGTGCCTCTTATAATAACTGTGAGGCACCATGTACAGGGCAATCTTAAAGCTCTAGCAAACCTGCTATCTCCTTGACCATGAACTGTTTCAGGGCTGGTATATGTGGGTGTGTGTAGGGCAGTGGGGGGAGAAGGCTCTGCCTTCTTGGGAGTTTTCTTCTACAATTTTTTTTTAACATAGGAGAATGAGAAACGTATTCCTCCTTTTTGGGCTGATCTTAGGTCTTTTGCCTCATCCCTCGTTTATGTAAATGAGAAGAGTCCAATTACACGTATGGAAAAAGGGTTTAATGAATCGTGAAAAAGCCCGGTTTGCAGAGAAAGGGCACAATCCCTTCTTCTTCTTCTTCTTCTTCTTCTTCTTCTTCTTCTTCTTCTTCTCTTTTATATTTAACTTAGAAACATGTATATCTTTCAAGAAAGATGAAGCTTAATGTTTATATCATTTTTATATACTAATTTTCATATTTGGGAATTATTAAGCATATTTTGCTAGAAGATTTAGCTTCCTTTATCTTTGGAAGGCTTTCTGGAGACTTAGCAAATATTCTACAACAAAAATTGCAAAACTTTTTTTCTAAAATTAAAAAAAATTACTTTGGTTCCTCCTATTTTTGCTGTTATTCTTAGCTTAGTGATTTTTCTTAACACAGTTTGATCTGGAATTGTCTGCAATGAAAAAAGGACTGCATCATTACAAGGGGTTGTAACTGAACCCAAGGAAAAGACTTCAGTATCACATACAGTTTTAGCTCAATTTTGGTATTCTTATGGTGTTTTAAGTAGCTAGAATTTTTGGAGTGTTGTAAATTAGGTAAACTTTTTTTTTTTTCTTTCCTAAAAGGCACTGAATTTTACACTGGAGCAGAAAATCCCGCGTTTGGGATTTCATTTTCCTGTTTTCTTTCCTCTTACTTCTTCATCCTGGAATTTTCAGTAATTGAAAGTAAACCACAAATAAAACCCCCCAACCCATTTCTTTTTTATGACAAAAAACCTTGAAAGAATATGAGGGGAAAAAAATCAATGCCATTTCTGACCGTAACTCTTAGAATTTGATAAGTATGCAACTAGCCTGGAAGAGGCGCTTTACAGGGACAGCAGTAAAGTTCTAGATCACGACTGGAAGTGCTTTCCGGAGACCTAATCCAACAACCTTGTTGGGCACTTGGGGAAACTGAGGCCTGAAAAGCGGGGGAGGGGGGGCCGGGGGGGAAATGACTGATGTGATTTTTTTTTCCTTTACAAAATTACTGCTACGATCCACGGAAAACACTTTTCCTGGGCACCTACTGTGTGGGGGGCATTGCTGGGATTCAGACTGCCTGCCTATTCACGAGGGCCGTGCTCTTTCCACTCTAACCCCCGGCCTTCCCGGATCGGCGCCCTGGATGTGATCGACACCATGAAGTTGCCCCATAATCCTCTCTGGCAACATAGGATGTAAAATTTGATCAGCTCATTGGATGAAGCCGACAAGTCTCAAAAATGTGTGAAAAGGGGGCCAAGCGGTAGGCAGGCGCCGCGTTGAGGCAGCGCTCCAGCCGGCCCCCCTCCGAGTTCCCAGAGCGGCAGCCGCGGCGGAGCGGGGGTTGGGACCGAGCTGCGGGGCCGCGGCGGCGGCGACCGAGCGGCCGCGGCAGCTGCGGGGAGGCCGCGGCGCCGTTGGGGGGCCGTAGGAGCGGACCGCAGGGCCGGAAGGGGGCAGTGAGGCGGCGCCCGCGGCTGCGGAGTTATCTCCGCGCCGTAGCCGGGGGCCGGGCCGGGCCGGGCGGGGCGGGGCGGGGCGGGGCGGGGCGGGGCGTGCACCAGGGCCGCGGGCGGCGCGCGCCGGAACAGTTGGCCTCCGAGCCCCGCCGCCCGCTCTCCCGCCCGCCGGCGCACGCGGAGGAGGTGGCGGTGGCTGAGGCTGCTGAGGCGCCGGCGGCGGCTGCAGAAGGAGGAGGGGAGCTCGGAGCAGGAGGTGAGGTGGAGGTGGAGGAGCAAGAGTAGGCGGAGGAGGAGGCGGCTGTAGCGGAGAGGAGCGGCCAGAAGAAGGAGGATGGAGGAGCAGCCGAAGGAGGGCGAGGCCGAGGGCGAGGAGCACTGGTTCTCTAAGTGGGAGCGCCAGTGCCTGGCCGAGGCAGAGCAGGAAGAGGAGTTGCACCCCGATATGCAGGAGGAGGCGACCCCTGAGGCGGCGGGGCTCAAGAGCGAGAAGCAGAAGCTGTGGCACCTCTTCCAGAACTCAGCTACCGCTGTGGCCCAGCTCTACAAGGATACGGGGTGCCAACAGCCAGGACTCTCCTTGTGGGACCCCTTCCAGAGTGCGGCCATGGCTGTGACCAGCCTCTACAAAGAGAGCGGGGATGCCCACCAACGAAGTTTTGACCTGGGCGTCCAGGTTGGCAACCATCGTCGCGTCAAAGATGTGCTGGAATGGGTGAAAAAGGGCCGGAGCACCATCCTTCGAGAAGATCTGATTAGCTTCCTGTGTGGCAAGGTGCCCCCCGCGACTCTGCCGCCGCGCACCCCGAGGGCGCCCCCGAAGCCACCCGCCGGGGCCCCCAGCCAGGCCGCGGCCACCGAATCCGGCTCGTCGGTGGACGTTGACCTGCAGCCGTTCCACGAGGCCATCGCCCTGCACGGCCTCAGCGGTGCCATGGCCAGCATCAGCGTGCAATCTGGAGCGCCCGGCTCCCCGCCTCAAGGCAGCGGTGTGGCCGGCGACGGCCACCGAAGAAGTAGCTTCCTCGAGGACAGCTCGAACCCCATCGACTCCGAAGAAGTGGCCCTCCACCTGGACAGTGGGGGGACCCGCAAGCGCACCTCGGCCCAGTGTGGTGATGGCGACACAGACTCCCCAACCCACAAGCGCAACCGAATGATCTAAACTGATCTAAACCACCTCGTGGGTCGCCAGCCACCATATTGCTCGGCCATCAACTTGCTCGTCAAAAGGGTTCTTGAGACTGTCTCTTCCTTCTCTAAGTTAAACAAAGAGTTCTATCAGTTTGCCACAAAGAAACTTTAAAAGTATACCAGGACAGGCATCGTTATGATTCTGACTTTCCCAAAAATATAATACTAGCAGAGAACAAGTATAATGTAGTAGTTAGCAAGACCGTTTAATGCAGAAGTATCCGGTCAAGCGGGAGCTTGGTTTATCTTGTTCACAGTTATATTTCTTAGCATCTGGCTCAGTTGCTGGTGCTTAATAAATGTTTGTTGACTGAATAAATGTGACCTTATTTAAAAGTCTTAAAGGGGAAGGACTAACAGGTGTTTGCTTGGTTATAGGATACTTTTATCCTTTATTGTTTGGTTGGTTGTTTGCTTTAACCGTTTTTGTTTTGTTTTGTTTGCCAGTTCAATTACATGTTATCAAAATGAAAAACTTGATATTTTTGTGAAATCTGGAGTTTTCCATTTTTGCTCCACTGTACCATGCATCTAATTTCTAGAAAGAAACTGCAAGGTGTACATATTAGCCTGTGAGTTTTCTTTTTTAAAATAGTCATTTTGGTGATTATGTGATGGGGTAAAGTGCTATGATGGTTGGGCAGGTAATACTTGCTATTGAGTCAATTTAATGCTCTTTTTAGGAATATTAAGCCAACAATTGAGAGCCTGAGATCAAAGATGGCATTCCTGGTGGTGGTCCTTTTTCTTAGGGATATAAAAAGTTCCTTTTTCTGAAGTTAAATCTTTTTGGTGATTTCTGTTTTGAAGTGGAAGCCGAAGTAGAATGAATTTCTGGGTTTTACTTAAGGGTATAGCATGATATAATTAAAAGAGCATGAGCTTTGATATTAAAAGGATCAACAGTAGAATCCTAGCCCCACAGATTCACTGCATGATTTTGGGCAAATCACTTAATGTCTATTGACCTCAGTTTTCCATCTGTAAAATGGAACTATGTGTCTCCTGAGGTCGTTGTGAGGGTAAGATGAAGTCCATATTTTAAGTACCTAGCACAATGCTTGGCACCTAAAGCATTAATGTTCTCCCTTCTCAATAAATAAAAATCAGTAAAACATTAAAATCCACTACATTTTAGAAAAAGCAGAAAAATAGATCAACTTAATCAGTAGAATCTCTGGGTTTGAGTTGGAAACTATTGTTATATAGTTGAAACTTGCCTAAATATCCCAGATCTTGTATTAATTATAAGTGTGTTTAGCTCATGAGTTCTCAGGATCATTCCTCTGGATGTTAGGGCAGACTTTTAGTTCCTAAAATTGCCTGAGGGATGCACCTTGCAGCTGGAGTAGTGAAAGATCTACCTCCTCTGGCCTGAAAGAATATGAGAAGCCGGGTAAGGACGGAAAGGGTGTGGAAGTGCAAGTCCTAGGGACACCTAAAAGGCAAAAGTGCTTCTGAATAGGGGTGAGGTGGAGTAGAGGTGATGAAAGGGGTAGACTGGGTGGGGTGGGGGGTGGAGGAGGTGGAAGTGAGGTTATGGAAGGGATGGGGGGAAGTTAGAACGTGCAAATCTCCCCAGGCTCTCCCTAAACCAGTGCATAAAATAGCAATAGTATAAATAGATGAGTAATACCTTGCCCTTAGGTTCACATCAAAGAGTTGTTTCTGTTTTTATTGGTGTGACCTTTGCAATAGATTTGTAATTGAATAAGTGCATTGAAATAATACAACAAAGTGAATTCCCTAATAGAATAAAAACTTGCTATTGAGGCACTCCACAAGTACATACTGAGGCACCATGCTAGGCCCCAAGAAGGGATGTTAAAAAAACAAAAACAATCCTTATGCTCACAGAGCACATCCTGGCTTGGAAGATAAATTAATGTAGTCCAGAAAGCACTTCTGATAGTATGCAAAGCACCGAAAGGCTATGCAGAGGAATTCAGAGGCCAGAGGCCTTCCTTACCAAGAGGGTCACAGCTTCTGGAGGAGGTGGCATTTGAACTGGTGCCCAGAAAAATAGGAAGGGAGGGCATAGGGGATACTAGCAGGGGAAGGATATCTAACAAAGTTTGAGAAGGAGGAAAACAGTAAACTGGGTTCAGGGGGTCACAGGTGCTGGGTAGGGGGAGGCAGGGGCCAAAGTAGAGGGGGTCTCAAATGCCCGGCTCAGTACTTTAGATTCTGTCCTGGGGCAGGGGGGTGACACCATCCAATCTGTGCTGTAGGAAAATTGGTCTGGCAGGATGCCTGGTTGTCCAGCGCTGACACACTGGAGCAGGGTATAACCAGGGTATCCCTGTTGGACGCTCTTTACTGGGGATGTTGCCATTTGGTTAACCAGGATTGTGGCGATATTTAACTTGACGGGGCTTTCTCTGGGAAGCCTTTGCTCACTTATACCCTCCCACACTTCAAACCATACCAGGTAGGAAGCACCTTCAGTGTGTGTTCTGCACTGCTTCTAGGCTGAGAAAGCCTTCAGTTCCAGCTGCAGAATCTCTTGGGGGCTAGTCTTGAAGTAACAAAGTAGCCATGCCTCTTATCATTCTTCTGCTGCTTGTCTTTGAGAGCCCTCCTCCAGGGAATCACTGGGGCATTCGGGCTGCAAGACTGGCTGAGCCACCGCAGCAATTTTAACAGGTAGGTATAGAGAGTTGTAAGAGGGCATGTCAGTATGAGGGCAGGGACCTCATTTGTCTTGTTTCTTTCTGTAATCCCCAGAGCCTAGCAGTGCCTGATCCACGGGCACACAATAAATATTTATTTAATGAGTGGATGAGTAAGCCCTCATCCAGACCCAGTTATAGCTCTTCTCCCTTTCTCTGTTTACCTACTGCCCAGGAAAGGCACCTGAAGCCCATGCTCTAATTTCTAGATGATTCTCCCCTGTGTGCGTTTTCCTAACTATTAGGTTCAGCATTTTGCAAAGTGTGGCCAATTCCATGACCACCTCCCTTGAGAATCCCCTGAGTTGCTTATGAAGCTGGCAGCCTCAGGAGCGCCTTCCAGGTGAATTACAATCTCAGTGGAAGGGTCCTAGAAGTGACCTCCTATCTGGAGGACGCCTCGGTGATCATGGTGCACAGTGAAGTCTGAAACTCCAGTGACCCCATTGTGAGATTCATGATTGATTCGAGGGGCTCATTTTAGTATACGTGCTGCCAAAGCGAGCACTAAGGGGCTCATTTTAAGTTGATCGTTGCTGGTGAACTTCCTGTGCAGGCTTGAAGTGAATCTCCCCATTTGTACATATTATCTTTATCATGACTTTGCATATTTCATACATTTTTCTTCTAGGAGCACAGTTGAGAAGACTGAGGAAAAACAATATTAAGTTACTTATTTTGGTCCTTTCATAGGAGGCCGAGAGAAGGCTCTGACTTCCTCACCACTAGCTGAGTATTTTATCCAGTAGACCATTGCTTCCTAATCAGAATTACGAACTGAGAGTCAGGAAACACTGCACTTAGATCACTTTGCCTTCTGTGAAATGATGATGGAGTAGAGGTCAGGGGAGGATTGGTTGTTAATCAGCCTGGGGCTTTGAGGAGGTTTACTGACCTCTTCCAGTAGCATGTGCTTGGTGGGATCCTTCCCAAATTTAGAACCAAGAGGGACCTTAAAGATCATCTAGGGCAGGGTTAACTATTCAGTTTACAAATGGGGCAACTGACCTCACTAGGGAGGGCCACAGTGACTTATTGGTAAGACTGCTGCCCCTACCAGGTTCCGTTGTTCACTTCCCTGGACCTCCCTTAGTCATACTGTGTATGGCTGTTTAATTAACATGCTGATGATCAAGTGGATCAAGTGGAGCTAGGAAACTTGTCCTGTTATGAAGCCTCTCTTTACTCTGTTGTGTGTGTTTGGGGGAAGCTGTTAGAGTTGTGCATTCAGGGAACATGTCACCCCTTCCCACCACCACTGCACTCCAGCTACCAGCAAAACTGGGCCACTTAAAGTTTCCTGAACTTTTGATCATCGCTGGCCTCTGGGCCCTTTTACCTTATTGCTTCCTTGGGCTCTGATGCCCTGCCCTAAACTCCTTTTTGTCTACTTCACTCCAACTCAGCCTTCAAAGCTCACCTCAGACTTTACCTTTATTTTTTGGATACCTTCCTTGCCCTTCCAAGTTGGGATTAAATGACCCTCCCCAGAGTTCCCACTTCGGACTTACCATTGTGTTTGTCAGCTTGTGTCTTTGCCCCACTAGATTGTAAACCACCAAGTTTCATCCCAAGAGGGTCTCTTTCCTAGGAGGTGTGTAAGAATCTCTATTACTGCGTGTGTAGGTCGAAAAGGAATATTCAACATTACACTATACTTTTTTTTTAAATGAAAGAATTATTGTCATAAAATTATATTGTGGGAAGAAAAGCTCAAAACAAAACTTCGAAGGGGCGGTTTTATTCTATCAGGTATTAAATGTGCTTCCCCAAAGAAGTGTAGCATATAAAATGTTATTAATGTTCTTTCTCATTTGTAGATATAATTGTACTGTCTCAGGCTTCAGTGGCAAAAGCATACAGGATCCTGGCTTAAGCCTTGACTTTCCCAATAACTGACCTTGAACAAGTCAGCCCTTTTTCTGCTTGATATAGGAAATAAAGGAGTTAGTTGTATTAGATGATCTTTAAGGTCTGCACAAGCTCTGGCACTTTCTGATCTGTGATTTAATTCAATAAGCAGCGGTAGTGATAACCTTCTTTCTGTGATATTCTCATTTAGATTATCTAGTGTCTGACCAGCTGAGTTCTGTGAGCCCCTTGAAATCAGGACTGCCATCCTGAAACAATTCCAAACCAGGAGACTCACTTGGTGGTAGTGGCATGGCCACTTGTAAGATGGGAATGTGTATGCACAGAGCAGCTTACCTTTCTCTCTTTTGGTTCCGTCTTCCTTAGGAGGTCAAGAAGTTAAAAAAAATTTTTTTTGAATACTTAAGGCGTATATTACAGTCAAATG